ACAGTTAAAGTAGACTTAGAAATTAATATGCTTGTATTAAGGTAAATGTGTTCCTCAGGTTTTCCCAATGTCTTGGGTGCTGTGGATGGCATCCACATCAGAATACAGGCCCCAGCTGGACCAACTGAGGCGGACTATGTGAACAGGAAATCTTTCCATAGCCTCAATGTACAGATATGGAGATTGGCAATAACCTCATACATTGCCAGTAGAGGGATTTAGCTCTGAATTTGACATTGTTCATCAATTCATATATTGAGCAATCTTAAATTAATGCTCTGCCAGACAAAATGTGTTATATCACTAAATCCACTCTCTGTGTTCAGATGATCTGTGACAGCAACTGCCTAATAACTAATGTTGAGGCAAAATGGCCAGGCTCTGTCCATGACTCCAGGATCTTTCGGGCATCCTCACTGGCACAGGGGTTTGCAGAAGGCAAGAGCACATTATTTCAAGCAAGGGTTTTTACTTCACAAGCATTTTTCATGGAAACTAGTGATCATATTTAAGACAAATAGTTGTAAGTCAGTAGGCACACATAACTTTAGAAGTCTTCGTGTGTGTGTGTGTGTGTGTGTGTGTGTGTGTGTGTTCGTGAACTGTAGGAGTGTCACAGCATATGCAATTGATACCTTCCTCTACAGGGGAGTTTAATGGAGTCCTGCTTGGGGACAGGGGTTATGCCTGCATGCCATACCTCCTAACCCCTTACCCAGAATCTCATACTGAGGCAGAAAAGCAATTTAACAACGCCCACTCAAAAACAAGGGCACGAATAGAAATGACCTTCGGCCAATTAAAATCCAGGTTTGAAATTCATACACATCACAACTATTGCAGGGCAACTTAAGGCTAACACAGCTCTCACTGCTTTAACCCTTGCAGACTCCAGTGCCTGAAGGGCCTTAGAGTAAGGCCGGACCAAGCATGCAACATTGTGGGTGCCTGTGCTATGCTACACAATATAGCTACCATACGCCAGGAGAAACTGCCCACAGTGTTGGTGGAGGAGCAGTGGGAAGACATACCAGCTCTTGAGGAAAGATTGGAAGGATGGACTGTAAGGGACCTTCACAAGGACAGTTATTTTATGTAAAGCCACTGGTGACCATTGAACCCCAACCCCCAGCTCATGTAGTGGTGGATAAATAAAACATGCTCAAAATGGACACCATTTCCTTTATTCACATTGTCCAGAACAGACGGCATTTCAGAACTTTTTTTTTTTTTAACTTTAACAATATATTTTCTCATGTAAAATATTGTTTTGGGACACTTTCCCAATAAAAATAAATAAAACAAACTAATTTAAACAAAGTTGGAATACTTTAAGGTGCAAAAATGTCAATGTATTACATTACCAGCTGGTGGTGCTGTTTGACAACTCTGCCTCCTGCCGTCGCTGTTCTGAATCTGTCCAATTGTCTCATCATCAACAGCCCAGGATGTACTGGGGCCATTAAACTGCAAAATGGGGAAAACTAAATCTGTTAAAGCAAGAGAAGATAGCATGACAGAATAGCCTGTAAACCAAAACCATGACTAACTTACACATGGGTTAGGAGTGTCTTGCACAAATGTAGCTGGGGGGGGGCAGGGGGGAAATCAAGCAGAACTACATAATCTCCTCTCACTGCATAGATGGGCATACCGTGACTTATCAATTATCACAACTAAGAGACTGACACCTGGAGGGAAAGTAGTGGACAATACCTTGTACATATTTCTCCCGGACACCTGAGGGGATGATCTCTTGATACCACACGTTCTATTCCCTCCATCTGAGGCCGACCTCGATTAAGGCTCAGTGCCAGCTCCTCTGCTGGTGTGAGGTCTTCAGGTGGAGGCCCCCCACCAGTAGCAGTTGCCTGCCTCTTTCTTGGCAGCTACAGTGACATTTATACATTTTTAAATCTACTATTGAGATCACATTGCAATTTCTTTATAAGCTACTTACCATTATGGAAGATATTTTTATATTTAGTTTTTACTTGCTGCCAGGTTCTTCGCTGTCCACTTAGATTGCTTCTATTTGTCATGGATTCGGGCAGCTCGGGCACGGGAACGAGGCATGGTGCAGGCACAAAAAGGGCGGACGACCCACTAGCGGCTCCAGGAACAGATGGGGTTTATTTAAACAAAACAGAAAACACTACAAACACAAAACCAAAAAGGACCATGAGGGGTCAAAAACTAAAAAAGGATTAATTAACAAAAACTAAATAACAAAAACCAGATACACATCAAACATCAACTATGAACCACAATCCACTACAGCACACGCACAGAACACAATGAACCACTGGGGAACTGAACAGAAGCAGGAACTAAAATACTAAGGGGTAAGGAGACTAACACAGGACAGGTGAGACTAATTAACAAAGACCAGGGAAACAGGGCACAGGTGAAACTAATAAACTCAAAGGAACTAAACAACGGGGAAACTAAGAACTAACCAAGGACACAGGGAAACAGAAACCAACACTGGGGTATTACAAACAGGTAAAGACAAGCAGGGGCACAAGGAACAAAACCAAATACAAAAACCACCAGATACAATAACCAGAAACACTAAGGAGCAACATACAAAAATAGGAGGCAGGATTCGATCACAGAACAGAAGGATACACAGACAACCACATGCTCAACACATTGAGCCACAAGACCAGACAGGCAACAGGGGAGAACAAAGACTAACAAAGAACGGGATGACCAGCAATGCCTGCTGGCCAAACGGGGAAGGGACACGGTAGGACCACAGCAGGGGCTGACCCTGACACTATTGAGATGTAATAGTGAAGGATTAATATGTAAGATCAGGGTAAGGCTACTGGGTCAGTAGAGTTCACACACATCTAAGTCAGTAAAGCTCTTATTAACAACCTAGTTATATTACACTTACGTGGTTACAAGTAGGCTTAAATCAGATATTTTCTAATATGCTTATTTGTGCAGAACATTTCATACAGGTGCAATTTAAAGTATTTACAGA